GGTTCCTGGTGGGACATTATGAGAGCTGGTGGTGGGACAGTACCACGGTCCATGGTGGGATGTCATCAGGGTTGGTGGTGGGACAGTGCCATGGTCAGTGGTGGGATATCACCACAGTCCGTAATGGAACATCACCCGGGGCTGGTGGCAGGACATTACTGTGGTCCATGGTGGGACGTCACCACTGTCAGTGGTGAGACATAGCCATGGTTAATGGTGGGACATCACCATTGTCATTGATGGGACATCACCATGGCCATTGGTGGGACATTGCCATGGTCATTGGTGGGACATCACTATGTCCATGGTGGGACGTCACCACTGTCAGTAGTGAGACATAGCCATGGTTGGTGGTGGGACATCATGAGGTTGCCAGTGGAGGCTCCATCTCTTCAGCCTGCTGTGATTCTGGGAGCATGAGGGTGGGGAAGGGAGATACAGGCTCTGGGAGCGTGGGGAAGCCCTGGATGGACCTTTGTGTCCCCCACAGGTATGTCACCCACCTGATGAAGCGTATTCAGAGAGGACCTGTCCGAGGCATCTCCATCAAACTGCAGGAGGAGGAGAGAGAGAGGAGGGACAACTACGTCCCCGAGGTGAGGCTCTGGCTGCGCTCGAGTGTCCACTTGGGTGTCTGTCTGTCCTGCTTCGAGGTGTCTCCTCCGTTAGTGACCTCAGATTTCCTAAAAACAAAACCTTGACCAGGAGGAGTGAGGAGGGTTTGAGTGGAAGAGAATTGAGGTGGATTTTGGCCTTGTAGAGGGGGAATTGGTGAAAGGGGTTGAGATCTCACCATCACCTGGTTGCTGATGGTGCTGGAAGAGGAGCTCCAGAAGCGTGTCCTGTGTCTGGGTTCATTCTCAAGCCCTGCAGCCTTCAGACGTGGTGCATCTCACCCCTCTTCCACAACTCCCTGATTGGCTTCTGGTAGAGCTGCTGGGGTTTGGTTGCATGGAAGGTTTAGTGATGATCTGGGAGGAACAGGGATGATGGTAAGATGTCATGGGAACCTCAGCAGTGTGGTGAGGTGGGCTGGTACTGTCCCCTCCACCTGCGTTGCCTCCTTGGTTTCATAGCTCAGAGCCAGGTGACACGGCTCTCCACGAGAGACCAGGGCTTAGTTTGACTCCCTCACTCCTGATGGCCAGAAATGACATGTGAAGCACCAGCAGCTCCATCCAGATCCTCTCGCAGATGCCTCAACACCCCAGATTTTAGGTGTTGGCACAGCTTGGAGGAACCGGTTGGGGCAACTTTTTTTTACGTAGTGACCTTCCAGCTGCCTGTGGAAGGCAGGATGAGGTGGTCCTGGTGGGAGAAGTCATCCCTGGAGGGATCCCAACCTGTAGCTATCGATGCAACGTTAGCTGAACCCACGTTATTCACAGTTTCTTACAAAACATCAGGTCTGATGTGGCCTCTTGGGGAAGGAAGCGTGTGGAGGTCAAGGTTTGGGGTCTGGAGGGGGTTGGAGGAGGTTGCTCTGGGCTTAAAGAGCTGGAGACCTCAGGTCCTGAGGGTGGGACAGCCCAGGCGGTCACCTGGCATTGCTGTCTGCCACCACGGTGGTCAGGCTCTGACCTTGGGGACTCACGTTTGGGCAAGGGCGAGTGTTGGTGATCACCAGGACCTGTGCAGTTGTAGACCTGAGCCCAGCTCCTCTCGGCAGCGTTGGTGTGGAGCTGGTTAGGCCTCAGGTTTCCAAAGATGTGTCCTAAAACAGGTTCTTCTCCCTGCATGGGGCCTCTCTGCTGCCGGGTGGCCTTGTGGTGTTTTGGCGGGAGAGCTGGGCTCTGTTGGGGTCCTCCTGGCTCATTCTGTTGCTGGAGCCTTTCCCCACCATGGGCAGCGAGATCTTGTTTGTGGTGGGATGGGACTGGAGTGGGTGTGTGGGGCCCAGTTTGACGACATCCTGTCTCTCCTCCATCCCCAGGTCTCTGCCCTTGACCAGGAGATCATCGAAGTGGACCCAGACACCAAGGAGATGCTGAAGCTCCTGGTGAGTGGCACCAACCACCCCCTTACCAGATGGGTGGCATGCTCCCACTGCCTTGAGGGGCTTGATGGTGTTGGCTGAAGGCTTCAGTGCTCTGGGAACGTGGTGGGGGTCCCACCACCATGGGACCTGCAGATGGATTAATTCCTGTATGGTTCTTGGGAAAAGAGAGGGTGGCTTTGCCCAAGATCCCGCTAGCAGGGTGGGTGCTCCCTGCCCTCCCCTCCTCCTGCAGCACCCTGGGGTGCTGACCCAAGGGTGTTGACCTACCTCATGGAGATGAACTTGGGTGTGCCCCCAAAAAGACCAGATTCCCCCCACTGATGAACTGATCTCCAAAGTGGGGTGGTCATCTCCTGTCTTCATCTGGAGACCTGAATCCACCCTTTGAGCCACCACAGCACTTTACTGCTCCTCTGCAGGGTTGGGCGCGGGTGGTGGGCAGGGGCAGGGGTGACCAACCCCAACCCCAATGCCATGCTGTTTTCCAGGACTTCGGCAGCCTGTCCAACCTGCAGGTGACGCAGCCGACAGTGGGGATGAACTTCAAAACGCCCCGAGGAGCGCTCTGAGTCGGTCCCTCTGTCTCGCTTTTCCAATAAACGTGAGGAAACCATCTCGGCCTGCCTGGTCTTTGGAAGCCGCGTCCCCAGGGATGAGGAGGGAGGGCTGGTTCCTCAGGGTGCCGTGTCCCAGATAGGTATCCAGGGCTTCAGAGCGTGAGGAGGATTCAACACCTTCGTGTCTGGCGGCGTCTTTTTGGGTAATTTCCTGGCTGTTTGGGGTGTGAGGTGCAAAGGTGTGATTTTATAGGATCTTCTAGGAGGAGAGGACAACTGTGGTGGCTCCTCAGAGCTTGCTGGAGCTCCTGGTCCTCAGCGCCTCCTGGGTTTGCCTGTGCCTCCTGGGAGTGGACAGCTCGGGGGTCGTGCTGTGCCAGAATAAAAGTTGCTTTTGTTTATAAGGGCGTTGGCCACTTCTAAGTGCTTAAATGAAAGGAAAAAGTCTTGTCAGTGGTTTGCTTCAGGAGGGGAGTGAAGCTCTCCTGTGGAGACCAGCCCTGGCGAGGCTTGTGCTGTCCTTCCTCCAGCGAGATGTTCCATCCAGCGATTTCCTCAAGGTGCAACCAGCAAGGAAGAGTTTTGGGGTTCACCTTCCAAATCTCCTGTCCTATGCAGAGGCTCTGCTTGGAGGTGGAGGAGACCTAAAGATCTCCACTGCTGCTGTAGGCACCATCCAGTGTTGTGACCTGCAGACAGGGGCACTCCGGGCCTCCATCAACTGTCCACAGCCACATCTTGAATTCCCCAGTACAAATAAAAAGACAAAGCTTTTGTGTTTTGGGAAGAAATGTCTATATTTAAGTTTACTGTGGAATTTTAGCTATTTCAGGAAGAAAATGTTTACAATAAATGTGACGATCCAGACGGAGCGCGCTGAGCTGCAGTCAGGATAAGCCAAGCTGCATAATTCATAAATCCCTGCGTACTGCCGAGATTCAACTCAGAATTTGCAGCTCGATACCACCAACCTCTTCACTACTTAACTAAAACACGGGGAAAATGGGTAAACTAACCATCAATCTGCAGAAAAAAGTGAGCAAGGAGGCATCACGGGCTTGAATTGACGGCATGGTTGAATTTCCAAACACAACCAGTAGCACTCTGGCAGCTCTTAGAATTTTAAGTTTTTGATGCAAACAGCCCTATTACTTAAAATTTTCTCTTTGTTTTAGTCTTCACGTCAGAATAAATGTTAATTTCGTTCTGGATCCAATACACCGTGTAGCCCGAGGTGCCGGGAATGAAATCGCGGAGCTCTCCGACGTATTTCTTCATGTCGCGAGCAGAGGCGTAGCCTACGAGGGGAAAACGGGGGGCGGGGAATCCTGAGCTCCCGCGTTTCCACTGCTGGAAGTGTCAGGAGGAAACGAGGACAGGGGAGCCCCTGCTTCATCCACCATTTTCCACTCCTAAAAATCTACCAACGCCAAACGTTACCTGTCACCATGTTACTCATCGGGTATTCCCGGAGGGCACGGTACGGAAATTCCCCGTGGGTGGGAGCGCTGGAACCTGTTTCTTCTTCGCTGCTGTATTGGGGTGGGAAAAAAAATCTGTGTGTTATTTCTAATGCCTCGGGGATCTCAAAATTTGGGAAGAGTGTCCAAATCCAACCACCCAGGGCAGGAAAGTACCTTTTGGCCAGGTCTAGTGCATCTTCCTCCACTTCTTCTTCACGGCCTTCTCTCGCCATCTCCAGATTTTGATCGTGCTGCGAGTATCAACGGACTTGAGTTAAAACTTTGCCCCGGCTACCCCACAAAGCACTAGAGACCTGGTCTGAGAGAGCGGGTTTTTTAAGACTTGTAATTTCAAGCATAATTTAGAATCAAGTTTTAAATCTAATCTCATTTTTTGCTTCAAAAATACTGAGAAACTGTGAGAGCAGGCCAGCGTCTTGGAGCTACATGGGGAAGAAAAATGCTGCACAAAAGGGTTGAGCTCAGATCTCGGCCACTGGCATCCCTGAAAGGATGTGCCAGGGAGATGGGACGTCTGTCGGGGTGAGGGAGAAGATCACTCCTCCGTGTCCCGTGCTCAGTGCGGTGCTGTCACCCCTGGCTTGTCCCGCTGGGAGGGACCCGCAGCACAGCAAGCACAAGATTTGATCCCATATTTGGGCTGAGGGTCTCGGGTGAAAACCAGGCTGCCCAAAGTTCATACAACTGGTATTTTTTAAGCTCCACCTCCTGTAGTACAAATTTCTCATCCTACCTGTTCTGCAACTGAATCACCCGCCTGCTCCCAAATAAAACTGCCGATTTTCCTTCTGATTTCTGCCATGAACAAAAAAATAAATTATTGTGAGAGCATCAGATAACGAGACTGTGCGACAGTCGCTGCTTCTGCAAGGCCCTGCCTAGTGAAGGCACGCGGGAGCCCTGGCAGGAGCTCATGGCATGGAGCTGCTCAACCAATGTAAGGGCTGGACATACAGGTGGAGACCAGTGACATGTGGTGTCCCCTCAGGGGTTGTACTGGCACCAGAAACATCTTTACCAGGCACATGGACAGTGGGATTGAGTGCATCCTCCATCTGGGTGGGGGCAACCCCAAGCACAAACACA